AGGGAACGTGTGCCCTTTCCTGGCAAGTTCATTCCTCCCTTTCTTCTTTCCTCTCCAAAAGAAACAAGGAGGATCTGAAAAACTGGCTGGCAGGGAAAGAGGGATGCCGACACAGCTGCCCCTTGGGAGGAAGGGGACATCTCTGATGCCAGGCACTCAGGGGTTTGCTGTTCAGGAAAGGCACCATGGCAGGAGCCTGTGGTGCCAAGCAAGGGGCCTGGTCCATTCCTGCCTCCCCATAAGCCCGCAGGCAGAGGGCACGGTCCTTTTTCCAAAATAACCTGTATGGATCCTGCTTGTGATGTCTGCAGGCTGCTGGGGTATTGGAACTTGAAGCCTTACACCATAAAATTACTCGAGTATATTTTAATAATTTAGAGCCACAGGTCTTACGTGGTTTGTTCTCTAAAGATTGATTTAGCTTCTTATTAAGGGAATTGGGCATTCAGTGTGAAAATCTGAACAAACTCTAGGCGGTTTTTATTTTTTTTAAAATATCCACAGGTGTAACTCACCGGGGAGAAGAATTTCAAAGCCTGTCCAACCCTATCTTGAATTTGTTATTCTCTTGCTTTCCTATTTTCATTCCCAAGGTGTTCTTGTTAAGGAAGAACACCTCAGCATTATTGTATTATTTTTAAATAAGCCACAATCACTTTAAGGAGCTCGGGATAAAAAAAACTACTAATACTTTGATTCCCCCCCCTCCAGTTTTCAGAAGTTTGATAATGCAAAGTGTGGACTACATATAAATGGAGGGGTAGGCAGTTGTAATTGCACAACTCTCCCCCTCTGTCCAGAGAAGGCCCATTTCTCTTTAATTATCCGTCGATTTTAAAAAGGTGCAAGATGAAGTGGAGCTGGCAGGGCCTGGCTCTCCGGGAGCAGCATGGTTTATAAGCAAAGAAGATGCTTACAAACGCAAACTTGTGGAGGCAGGTATGGATTTCGCATTCAAGGGGATCCGCGTGGGTCGTTGCTCCCAGCTGGTTTGTCAGTGCAGAGAGGGATCCCCCACCACTGCAGGACTTCAGGACAAAGTCTGTGCTCTGTGCACCCTCCAGCTCTGTAAGCCGTGTAATTTGCAAGGACAAGCACACCCCTCCCCGAAAGGCGAATGTGGCGTGTGTTGCAGGAACCAATGCTGCAGTGCTGGACCGTGCTGCCACCGCTGCCGTAGGCATCGCTGTCCCGCCGCAGCAGCGGGGACGGGAGCGATCCCTGTGGGCCAGTGTCCATGTCCCTCAGCCAGTGCCGCTCAGGGCTTCTCCGGGGGACAGGCTAGTGCCGGCTCCCATGCCGCATGGCTCCCGTGGGAGGTGGCAGCCGCTCACGTCTCGGCCTCTGTTCTCAAAACAGAAATCGATAAGCTGCTGAAGTGGCGTTTCTCCTCAGATGGTTCAGAAATGCCATTTCTTTTCTCCTGGAGATTTTGTAAACTTAAAAGAGAGTCATGAAAAAAAAAGTTCTCCCCTGTCCAGCCCATTAATTCAGCCTGCTCAGGACAAAATTAACCTTGGCAAGCCTTCCAGAGGAGAGAGTCATTCTAACCTTAAAAATCTGCTGATTAAAGCTGGTTTCAGGAATTCGATTTCACTTAATGCGTTGGCTGAGCGCCCAGCCCAGCATTAACATAGCCACAGACACACAGGCCTGCGCATTTTCTACCTCCCCGATAGAGAAAAAAACAAAAAAATAAAAAAAAAAGAAAACCCAGCTAATGAAACCCCTTTTGCCTGTTTTAAGCAAGAATTCATTTTAAAGACTCCTTTAGCTAAAGGCATTAAGTGTGCCCTGGTTACCTGTCTCCTAAGGCCAGCCAAGGAGGTAATTCCGTTCTCCTGATTAGTTGCAGCGTCATGTGTCGAGCTGTCCTCTGCCGACCGGGTGCTTGGTGGCCCTGACCTGGTGCGAGGCAGAGGGGTTCATCGCTGCCCCGTGTTGGAGGCAGGGGGTCTGAGCGGAGCCGAGCATGGGAAAATCGCCTCTATGCACCCTCTCCCTGTAAACCCACATGTACCGTGCTATCAAACTTTAGATTTTACGTCATCTAACAGCGCTTAACTCATTAACCTTGAAAATCTTCCAAAACAATGAAGCTCAGATTTCTAAGGTTTCTATTTATATCTTTAAACATTTTTTATGCCTTTTTATCCGAGAATTAATGTAGTTTTTATTGCTGCCATCACTCCTTTTGTCTTCAGTCCAAAAGCTGGGTTTCCAGGGGGTGTTTCTCCCACTGCAGTGCATTTCTCCGCAACCATGTTATGTCTTGGTGCAAGCGCACGGTGCCAGCACACGGTGCCTGTGAAGAAGAGTTCCCCACTGTCTCTCCGAGGCCAGGGGGCTTGCTTACGCGTGGGTCTCCTTCATCCCAGCCACCCAAGTTAGAACACCAAGCCCCAAAACTTCAATCCAGAACTAGATTCCCATGTCGTGCCATGTGGGGAAAAAAAAGAAAAGAAAAAATAAAAAAAAAATCACTTCTGTATTCTGGATGCTTTGTAAATTCTGTGAACTGTTAGGGTTTTCTTAATGGTTTGCTGAAATGTTGAAAACCAGTTTCATGGAGGTGGGATGCTTTTATGTAATTCATTATTGACACCTGTAGAATTATATGCGAGACAGATCTGGAGATAGAGAGCAACTTTTCTACCTACTAAAGGCAGCGAGCTACAAGGAGCTCAGCATTGGTGCTTGTCATTATTTTTTGTTTTAATCATGGTAAAGTTTCGATTGACTTCACAGCAAATCGGGGTTGTGAATCAAGTGGAGGTGTGCTGATATATATTGGTATATATTGATGTGTATTGCATGAGGCGCTATGGGTGTTTCGCTGTTGCGAAGGCTCTTCCAGCAGCGTGCTCCAGACCAGCTTTCCCATCCTCGCTGGGAAGCTGGTCGGACCGGGAGACACTGCACCTACCAAGCCGCATTCTGAAGCTGGGGGACCAGCTCTGAGTCAGCAGAACCAAACATTAAAGACATTTTAATGCAGACCCTGGTGCCGTGCAGCCAGGAGTCGCTGTCAGGGATTATCTTAAACAAACGGCGTCTGCTTTTCCCCAGGCTGAGTGGTGGGATTTAAATGTTAAGCTTTTCTTTGGATTATTTTCTGCAGGGTTTTTTTCCCATCTATTTTTCCTCCCTGCTTTTTTGTGTGTGTGGAATGTACTCTTGACACATTTAAAAACATTATTAATCTTTGTCATTTGTATTTTAAAAATAACTCGATGATAGCAGCTAGCAGTCCTTAAACCCTTTTTGATTCAGTCTGACCTTGCGAGCAGTGATCTTGGGGAGGAGACGCTGCCGCCAGCCTCCCCGTGTGCTTGCCGATAAGTGTTGTGCATTTAACGACACACCTCCACGCTCACCCTGTTACAGGGCACGCTAACTATGTCAGGGCTGGCAAGCTTGCTGCTTGCAGAGTGTTTTCATAGGTTGTGAGGTGCCTTCCAGACAGAAGGATTATAAATGAAGATTTACCGGCCCCTTTGTGTTCATGCGAACAGCCAGTGTCCTGCGCTGGGGGGATGGCATGGACGGAGCTATGTCCCGGCACGGGCTGGTGCATTGGGCAGGATAACGGCGTCACCGGGGCACTGAGCGCAGGTCACCCCCACCAGCACCGGTAAAGCCTTGATGCCACACGTCAACCTTCACATCACTATTGATGCTGTGGCATCCATATCTGCAGAAACAGGTATTCGAGATGACTGGGATGGTGATTTAGTGATAATTTTTTTCCAGTACCCATCTGTTTAGGTCCCACTTAACAGAGTTTTAAGTCTTGCTGAAGTCTGGCCAGAGCTGGGGCCATCCCGTCCTGCAGCCGCTGCTGCCAGGAGGATGCTGGGTGACGATTTCCACACCCCGGACCATTGAGGACCCCCTGGTAGGGTACAGACAGGGCTGTGAGCAAGTGAAGAGCGCATTAATCGTGAGAGTCGTCATAATCGATGCAGTCGCTGGAGTAAAACAAAAAAAGAAATTCCCCTTAAAAATCCCCTGCGGTTGGATTTACTTATTTTTTCCTTCTGTAATGGCAGAATACTGGTGTGCCTAAAAAACGCGCGGGCTGTGATCTTCCAGGGGAAATATCTGAAGAAAGCTGTGAGCAGATTGCTGGGCTGTTGCAATCTCGCATTTAAGGAAAACTAATCACCTTCGGTATGGGAGAATATATCATTATACGCACACCCATCCCCCATGTGTGCTATATTAAAAGCCAGTGGAGTCAGAAAATAATATTGCTTTCTTAATAATAAACAAATCTTGTGGACAGGAATTGTACCGGGATCTTTTAAATTAAAAACAGTTTTGTGTGTTTGGTTTGCACTGGGCTTAGCTTCCAACCGACAGGGGTGTTGAAAAGTTTTAACGTACTGGAAATTTGATTTTTTCCTGCAGAAAGAATTCCTTAGCCTTACTGATTTTGGTTAATCAGAGAAGCAGAGTTCATTTAAAAAAAGAAGAAGGAAAAAAAAGCAACTGTATTTTGGCATTTTGCTGGATAACATACCTGACAGCATTTTTTTCAGTTTACAAACCCTAAATTTTCAGTTTCCATACCCAGGTGATAAACTATGGAAAAGAGATGTTTGTGTTGTGTTTTTTAAAAAATAAAAATATGTTGAAGCAAAGATTAAAATACAGCTAACCAAACCCACGTCTGTGTTGTGTGTCGGGATGCAGAGCACCGTGGGGAGACTCTGTTTGCTCTGGCAGCACCTGGGTGGCTGAGCTGCGGGTGAAAGCAGCGTGCTGGTGCAGCGGGGGCTGTTAGGAGAGTGATTCTGTAACCTGTAACAACATTTAAAAAAAAATCTGGGGGTGCTGTAATCTGGTGGTGTGTGTTACCAGCCGTGGACCGACTTCAGAAATTACATCCTCCGGTAGCAGATAACACGCTGCAGGTCCCATCCCTGGCGCTGCCTCCGCAGGTGATGGTTTCTTTCGTTAACTCGACTCTGCTTTCTCTCTTTTTCTGTCCCTAGTGCTTGTACGGCTGCTACGTCCATTCCTCCATCATCCCCACGTTTCACAGAAGGTGCTACTGGCTTCTGCAGGTAGGATGACAACAAATTCCTCTCTCCTGGGGGTAATCCGGTCGAGCCCGTAGGGCTGTGTTTGGCTGCTGCTAGGGAGGTTGGCAGTCCCGTGTTTCATTGATTCGGAGGATTTTGTTTGTCTGAAGGTGATGGGGATTTTCTTAGTTGTGTGTCTCTGTTCAGAGGTATGATATATTTTCTCTGGGTAAGTTTCTAGCAAATATAGAGCTGATGCCAGCTCAAACGTTCCCTAAACAGAGAGTCAGCCAAGGTGAGACTTTTTTAAGGTTTTCAGTTGTCTTTTCCCATTCTGAAGTGAGGCAGGTACAGGAGCTCGGGAAGCCAACTGCTATACTGGCACGCGATGGCGAGGGAGAGAAATCAGCCCTGTGGCTGTGTTTGAATTTGGGGTGAACCTTGTGGCTAGCCTTGCGGTGGATCTGCTTTCCTCCAGTGGGGAGTTTAGTCTCAAGGGAGTTTTTTGGGGTCACTCAATGAATTTTCTTCTGGCTGTTGTGGGCACAGTGAAGCCCCTGGAGGAGCCATGCAGAGTTTTCCTCTTATTTCTGCAGGGTTTGGGTAGTGGCCTGATCCTCTCCAGGCCTCCTTGGGCTGCGGTGGGTGTGCTTGGGTTCACACGTGGGAGTTTGCCCAGGTTGGGCGTTCGCTGGACCAATAACCCTACGTTTGCGGAGCTATTTATGTTATTCACTGGTTACTGTTGCTTACAAAGTGGAAGCAATTTGTTTTCTTTTGTTAGAAAACAGCATTTGACACATATTGTAATAATATTATTGTTTTAAAGATTAAACCCCTGCAGTCCTGAAAACAAACACGTCTGAGGAAAGTGACATCTGTTTCAAGAAGCAAATGGAAAATAATCCTTTTTTCCCCCCGGTTTTGCAATTGCACTTCCATATTAAAAAAGAAGATGCTTCTGCTGTCACTGCTGCATGAAAGATGCCCCACAGAGCAAGGGTGACCCACAGAGGATGGTGCCCGCACCGTGGACGTAATCAAAGGGAATGTGCACAAAATGTCACTGTCCTCTGTGATGTTTATGTGCATCTCAGCTCTGTTTGCATCCTCTGCATATAAATGCCATGTGTAAAGGGGAAAACGCTTCGCTGCAGCGGTGGGAGCAGTATTTCACCTCCACGGAGGAAAGCTGTGACTCCACTGAAAACGCAGCACGACCACATCAATCCTGCAGACGTTTAGCACTTTTCCCTGCAGCCTCTCAAGGTCCTGACCTGCGTCCGTGGTTGGATGCGAGCAGCGAGAAGAGGGGGAGTGGGGTGTAGGTACAGCTAAAGAAGCCATTAAATGTTCATGGTTCAGTGTGCCGAACCGAGCAAAACCTCTAAACTCACGGTCCAGTTTGCCTGGGGTGGCAGACAGCTGCTCACCTTGTTGTTCAGCATCCGTCTCTGCCGGTGCCTGTGACGGGTGGTGTGACACAAGAATTCAAAGGAAACTCTGAATTCCCTCCGAATAACTGCTGGCACGGCACGGCAGTGCTTCCCCAGCCAGCATCTGTCCCGGGTGTCCCTGTGAAGGCAGAGAGGACCACGGCAGGTGGAACAGCAGGTCACTTGGTTCATCTGCTCTTGCCTACTCAGGAACAGGAGTTTGGGCTGGGGCTTGGTGGAAGCATTCTCCACCTGCCACCCCGGGAGCTTGGGGAGGTACCAGTACTGCACAGGGTTGAAAGGTGCCGCAGGTCCCCCTGTCGTCACCGGTCTGCAGCAGCCCTCAGCCCGGGCACAGTCACCACAGGTGCTGGGAGTTTTCCAGTGTCCCTGAAGGGCAGCTCAGCTCATGAAATGTTTTCACATAGACTGTAAATGTTAAGCAAGGCCCCTGTTTCTGCAGAAATTCAGGGCAGACAGCAGACTCCTTCCTATTAGATCCCAAGAGGAACAGATGACGCAAAATCAAACTTCAGAGCTCCAGCTTAAAATTGGGCTGTGACCTTTAGGGAGGTTTGCTCCCAAACGACAAAGCTTTTTCTGTTACTTTTGGGAGAGTATTTTCTAGCTTTGTCCATCTTTCCATCAGGAAATTTCCCATGATTTCGACCCGTTATCCAGCAGCCTGAGCGATGGTTGCATAGCCTGAGTGCTCCCTGACCACGGGCAGTCCCCAGATCCTGCTCCATTGCGGGCTGGCCAGCCTGTGCTTGTTCCCCCAGATGTCCTCCCCTCATAGGTCACCCCTCTTAACTTTAATTGCAAGTTTTGTATTTCTTTTTATTCTTGTTGCGTGCTATCTCAAAGTATTGCTGGACTTGGCTGTTGTGGCAGTTAGCAAGCTGATATCTAATGAGTTGCGTTGCAGCACCATAGGATCTTCTTACCTGCACTCTGAGGTCTGGCTCATTCACGTTCGGAGGGTGTGTGTCAACGTTTAGGCCGTCGTCTTTGCTCTGATAATTGGTTTGGATTGAGATGAGTGGATGGGAAGTACATTTCTCACGAGCCTATTTATAAAATGTGATGCAGGACATCTCGTTGTGAGTGTAGTATACCCGTATTCAGAAACAAGGACGCGTTGTGCCTTTGCTGTGGGAGGAATAGGGGTCTGTGATTCATGACACCATCTCCCAGGCATAAATGGGCATCCTTCGATCATGTGCTAAAGGTTATACAGCTGGAGGGAAAAGAGCTGGCCAAGAACCGATGACGCTTTTCTAACGTCTGCACAATGTTTCTGTTCAGCTCCACAGTGAATTTGGGGCTAGTGAGACCAGGAGAGAGGGAGAAGGTATTTTGTGCATCTGCTTCAGAGTCTTCCACTTCAACACCACCCAATAAATGACTTTCATATTCCAAAACGGATACAGACTGGGCAATGTTTAACATTAACCTCCAGCAAAAGGTTTGGCTTTTTAGTTCACAGAAGCAAATGGGTGATTTTTGCTTTTTTGAGAGTCATTTAGTACCTTTCTGGGATATGGAGCTCTCTGCCTGCGAGTCTCTGGTCAATAGGAAGTAAATACAATTAGTCTGCGATGCCGCATGTGTTTTATGGGATGATCTTCCTCCAAATCCTATTGTCAGGTTAGATATTGATTAAAAATCCCCATGCAATTGTTCTTGATCTTTTCTGACTAGCGTTTTCAGTGTAAAGGCCAAGACTCAAACAAGCCACAGAGACTAGCAGTCTCTCTTGTGCATTTATGCTGTGCTATAGCCATTAATTATATGGTGGTACCCGATTTCTTACTTAAACAACTTTGCGTTGTCATTTATGATTGACAGAATGTGCCTTCTCCCTGCAGACTGGTCAAAGGGATAAGAAATGAAAACCAGTCAGCTTGAACTGTCAGCAGGCAAAACGCAGTTTTCTGAGTCCCTGCTACAAGAAGTTATCCTGCCATACAAGGCACCACAGCTGAGGTCTCCTCCTCTCTATTCTGAAGGGGGTTACATTTTTGAGACATTGCAAGCTTGCTTCATAATGGATTTTAAATGCTGCCTTACCACAAACACCTTTAATATCTTTTTAATAGATGTTGTAATTTCCAAGCAAGCATTGTAGTGTCTCTGTAGGAGATCGTCCAGCCCTGGGCGCTGGCAGCCTCTCACATGGACCACTTGGGGCTGAGTGAAGGGATCATGACCCAAGGTGGTAGTGGTGTTTTCCTACATTGGGTTCTCATATCTTTCTTTCAGTTTTCTGATTTCTAGAAATATGAGATCATGCTCTGAGCAACAGGCAGAGGTGGTGTGGATGACCTCTTCAAGGGGCGCTGGGGAGGACTCTTCAGCAGCACCTTACAACAAGGCTGCTGCAAAGCCTTTGCATAACGTGCTGCATCTTTAACGAGTTGCACACACTTTTGGAACACTTTCCCATTTCCAAACATTTCACTTGGCCCTCCATGTTTCCATTCCCAAGGAAATTATCCAGATTGTTAAAAAGAAACAGCTTTTGTCTTTGCATTCTGCCCAAAATCATGCACTACCTTGTCTTTCCGATGTTTATTCTGGCTCTGAGTGAGGGCACTGCCTTAAAAGCACTTTTTTTTTTCTCATTACCTGTTAGCTTCCTAAAAGAAGCAGTGTCCTAGCTGCTTGCAATTAGTGAAGTGCAGAACAGCGCTGCTGAAGCCTTTTTTTAGGTATGAGTGATGGCAGGTCCTCAGACTCCTGGAAAGGCTTCGGCACACAGACACTGCCACTGGGTTTGTTGGCTTGTCTGCCAGTAGGACGTGTGTACAAACACCCGCACTGTGCATGTTCAAACCTTCAAAATGGCACCAGATTTTCTGTCAATGGAAAAAGAAGAAGAAAAAAACCTGTTTGTACTTGTAATGACTAATGCAGGGAAAACGTGGATTCTCAGATATAGACAATTTTCAAACATTGGCACAGCTGAGTAGCAAAATGCAGCGTTCCCTTCTGTGGATTGGTAACTGGCACCCCAGGAATTTAAAATTAATCTAGCTGCCAGGCTCCCAGGGCTGGCTGCTGTTTGCAAAGGTTATTGGAGGCGGGCTTCATCTTTACGCGTTAATACCAGTGCGTCTCTTGCTCTCTTCCACACTTGTGCCATGCAGCTGGAGACTAATTTGTTGGACAGTCGTCGTTTTCCATCCTGCCTTTAGCAGATTCTGATATCTTTCTTAGTGCTGGTGTTAAGGTGCTGTGGTTATGGGAAGTAATACATTAAAAAAAAGTGTTGCCCTTTTTCTCAATTAAGAAGTACATAAACTGAGCTATAGGATCATGCTAAAAACTTTTTGTGAATTTAGACAGTCGCTAAATATTAATTCTTCACGACATGGGACAGAACTTCTCATATTGCCATCTTTTCTGTAATTTTTTGCCTAAATATGGGAAAAATGTGCATTTTAGGCACTTGGGTTTCATTAATTTTATTATTTGTTTGGTTTTTTGAATGACTCCCCTCTTGCTGCAGTAATTTAATAACAGCAACAGTCACAGCAAGGCAAGATCAGGAATCCTCGACAGAGTGCTGCCAACATGATAGGACATCCTCCCATTCAGCTA